GATATCACCTGATCAGCATAACTTGTATTTGCAATACTGGAATGTTATCCAATATAACAATATATATTTAACAAATCGGTTTAAAATAGCATTAAGTTTTTTTGTAATTGTAGATAACAACAATCAGTCTAAATTGGTGGGGCAGGCTCTTCTTAATAATGAAACCGTTAAAAGTTATGAATAGGTTTTACAAACTTTAATTATAAATACAAAAGTAGAACCTTTGACAATAATAACTAATAATGATCTCGCTATCAATGCCGCAATTGCTAATGTTTTATCCAATATATATCATATCCATTGTATATTTCATATTGGACAAAACTTAATAAAAAATTTGAAGAGCAAGCTAGGAGAACAATATAATAAATTTTCTCCCGATTGTATCACATACGTAATTCGCTTTCATTTCAACAATTTAATCATTTATGAGATAAGCTTATAACAAAATTTCCTGATACCACTCTATATCTTAACCGTGTTCTTTATAATGAAAAGGAGAGATAGGTTCTTTGTTATATCTCTAAAATTTTTACTACTAGGATACAGTTGATATAGTGAGTTGAGGATCAAAATTCTATTATAAAAGACTCAGTTAACAGTAGCACATCTTTAATCAACCTCACAAAACATATTGATGAACAGATTGATCGTGCGTCTACTTTAGTTCAATACAAAAATTGGAATTATTCTATTACGAGATCTACACTTATTTATACTAGTTTGGAATTTTCACCTGCTATTGACAAATAGATTGCTATCTACTTGATACCAACTTCTTTATCTATACAGCAGCAGGAAATTAGTCAAGCTATGTAGTATTCATCAAAACTTATCAATAATTTTCAAGACTTGATATTACAGTTGGATTCAATTGAACAATCTAGCTTGATCGAACAATTTTTTGGGCTCACTAATTCAATTGAATCTGATATAACTGATATTCATAATGTATTTATTAAAAATATTGTTGCTGCTTCTGCAATTTTAATTAAAGAATTAATCTCACTTTTAGAAGCCATATCTATCCTTGAAGTTTAGGAAGTTTCCAGACATAGACTAATATAAAAAATTATGTAATATTATTCAAAAATAATTCATATTTATGTACATATTTGGGTTTGATTCAATGTGGCTTTGTCTGTAGACACTTTTTTCAAGTTATGATATTGTCTAAACATGCTTTATTTCACATTATGCTTATCTCAAAAAGTTGATACACTGATGCAAAGCAAATTAAACTAGAATCACAAATACAGCAGCGCTTTTTGTTATTGGATTGGGTGATAATAGTAACACAGAAAATTCAACTCATATTATACAATCCTTTTCTGATTCATCTTTTTGTTTACTAAATATTTCATTTAGTGATATTCATACTAAGGTTAATGATCGTAAAACATATGGGATGATCAATGGATTGTCAAAAAAAGCAATACAAACTGGAATAGATGCTGGTTCTGGTGCAATTAAGGAGCTCGAAGAATTTATGAATGAGTTTATCACCAGATATGCGTCAAAAAAAAAAGAAAACCTAATTTGTAGAAAGAATATAAGGGAACAGGATGAGGATGAGGATGAAGTTAGCTCAAGTTGTAGTTCTAATGGTAAGGATTTTATTGCGATTGAAAATCTGATAGTCTATTCAAAAAAGGGTACTCCAAGAAAAAAGCGAATCAAAAAATCATATGAAATTGAAAGCAAAAGCAAATTTAGCACTAAGCAAAATTCAAAATTTCGAAAGACAAAAAAACCGACTCAATGTTAGCAGTATCAAAATATGGGTCACAACAAAGCTGGTTGTGAAGCATGGCACAAGCAACAAGGTCTTTCATATTCATATTAATTATTCATCTGTGGCTTGCTTATTATGCATTAGATATAAATATAGTGGAATAGATTAAGGGTGTATTCATTAATGATGGTTTAGAAGAATTTAGTTAAATTTAAAATACATATTAATTAATATAGCAATATATATAATTATAGAACAAATGGTTAAAAGGCCTTGTTATAAAATTTAGTTTTTAAAAGTGAATCTCTTTTTGAATAGTTAGGGTTAGTGCTTTTTTTTTTAGATTAGGTTATAAGAAACTTTTTTAAAGAATTTCTTTTGCAGATTATGCATTATTTTAATTCTCTATACTATATACTATATTTGTGATAATGAACTTAGTGCTAAATAAGTACCTAAACTAGTTGTATTTAAATCACAATTGGCTATTATTAATTAGTAATATATTGTATCCAGATTCAAAATTTTCAATATAGATGTATGCAATAGTGTATTATATTGTATTCACATAAGAAAATGATAAGTATTTTAAACTTGACTCAGAGCTTCGTATTGTATATATATACGTATAAGTTGCTAATACATAAAACTGACTTTTGTATATAGTCATTTTCTATGAGTAGATCATTATTGTCATGTACTGTAAACCGAATGAAAAGCTAAGTATTTTACACTTAGAGTTTCATATTGTGCTTATGTACGTACGTACAAGTTTCTAACACATAAAATTGACTTTTTGTGGTTGCTTTCTATAGGTAGATCATTATTGTCATATCATAGAACAAAGATCATATTACTATTATTATATAAGCTACGTCACTTGAATAAATACAATATAACAATACGTAAGCTGCTAAACAACAAGCAAACACATATTTTGTTTAAATAGAATAGATATTTATTGTTATAAAATGAAAGGTGATGCTAAAGCAGATAGGTTACATAGTTATTTTTGTTAACTTTAAGGTTGGGGTTAATTATAAACTAGAGTTAAAGCAAAATTATTAATAATAGCTATTTTAATAAAAAAATGCATTGTATATAGTATTCTATAATTAATAAAGTATAATATACTGATCACATGATCAGGTATATTGTATCTTTGGGTACATATATATAACTCCTTAAAAATATATAAAATTTAAAAAACTTGAAAAAAAATTTAACAATAATATTATACAAATTTTGAACTTTAATTAATTAAAGTTTTTAATAATTTTAAAAAATTTTATTTTTAAAAAGAGGTTTGGGTTCTATAGTTTAGCAGTTAAGCTTTCAAACTCTACAGACTAGATCAATAGTTCAAGTTAGGGCTAAAGGCAAATTTTAATAAAATTTGCTTCTGTAACTTATGAGGACTATTAAAATCAAATGTGAAGTTCTGTGAAAAGTTCAAGTGCAATATAAAATTAAAATAAAGAATTTTTAGAAGGAGACCAGGTTGTGAAGTATAGGTACTATATATGATAGTATATCAAGAAATTTTTAAATAAGATGTATATTAATACCATTTGCAGAAATGATTAGCATTAATTTATATTAATTATAATCAATTATAATTATTCAAATTTAAATGATTGTAATTGATTAGCATCGATTTATATCAATTGCAATCAGTTTAAATTTGAATGATTACAATTGATTATAATCGATATAAATCAATACCAATTACTTTCACAGATAGTAATCAATATGCATTTTATTTAAAAATTTCTTGATATAGAAGTTTAGATAGTAGAAGACCATGCATATAAGTTCTCTAGTTGGGGTGACTCAGAGATAATACCAATATCCTATCATCTTTGTATTTGACAATACTAACATCTCTATATTTAACTTGTAGAATACTTGTTTGAAAAGATAATCAATAGATTGTATGTATAAGTTCTAATATAGAATAGTATTAGATACTTGCTTGAAAGAGTGATACAATACTACCAAAACTAGAGTAGTAAGAGAAGTGGTAATACACAACTATGGGCTACAATAAAAGATCATGCCTTAACTAGAATTAAAAATATTTCTGGCAATAGTAGAATAACTATAGAAGGCCACTTGGTATAAAAAATATAACCTACTTCTGTATATTTAAAGGTACCAATTCAGAGCTCTGATTATATCTATATAGAAGTCTATGACAAAAAAGTTAAAATTTATCAACACAAATATGATATTAACTAGAAATAGCTAGAAGTAATTTAGCTTATTATTTAAGTAATTTTGTAGTATTAGACTAGTCTTTAACAAGATAGATCATTAAAGCAAAATCATGAAAATAGCTAATAGCTAGTATCAGAAAAGTAAAATTAATTAAAATTTGTAAAAATCTCTAAATTACTAAATAATTGTAGAACTCTAATAAAAAATCTGCAAAGATTTGCAAAATATTAATTATTAAAGATTTAAGATTATCAGAAAAATAAGATCTATAAAGATCTTTAAAATTATCAAAACTCTGTATATTTTTAAATTATATATAATGATAAATTGCTATATATTTAAAATTCATATGAATGCTACTAAGGGAAAATATTACTTCAGACTTTCAATTACATTTTGACTAGATACTTTCTATTTAATTTATTAAGGATTGTGTTTGGTCAAAATGTAATTAAAAGTCTAAAA